ATCCATCTTAATTTAATGAACTTGATAAAAACCAACCAAATTATCTTTTTTTTTAAATAATGAAGTTGAATTAGTTAATACCCTCTGTTACTATTAATACTTGTCTAGCAAGTCATCCTTTAAGCATTATATAACTAATCATCTACCAAATGGCCCAGGAATATCATTTAGCATGTACCTATTAGCTCCCACGTACATGAAACTTTTGTACATATTAATATATTTATATTTTTTATGAATTGAATTAGTTAGAACAAATTTACATCAAAGCATTTTGTCTAAAGAGTATAAAAAAAATATACACTAATTTTTTTCTAGAAACTAAGACAACTCTAAACATTTTTATTGTAACAAATACAAACAGTAGAGAAAATTAACTATTATATATATATATATATATATATATATATAAAAGAATGTAAACTATTGGTCACACCATATGTAAAAATCTAGAAAATATAGTATTATAGTTGATAGGTGTATTAAAATAATGAGACCGAGTATTTTATTTAAAATAATTTTATAATATAAATAGAATTTTCTAAACTCGTTTCATTACTTTAGAAACACTTTATCCTTCTAAAACACTTTCTCTTTGTTTTCTCTTACTTCTTTCTAAGTGTTTTTTTATCTCAAGTCATCTATTTGACGATCAGGAGGTGTCTAGACGATTACGACATCAAGGTCTACCTTTCTATCCGATCAATTTGGTGTTTAGAGCAAGTAAGTTTTCATCCCTTTTCTTGGTACTTTTCTTGATCCTTGATCATGCAAAGAGAAATTGTTTTGCATGTATCAAGTTATCTTCTTTCTAGTTCTTGGTTGATTAAGAGTTTTAAGGACTCTGTCTATGTCAAAATTGGTGTTTCCTAGGTTCGTTTAGAAATCCCTTGTGTTGCAAGCAATCAGTGGAGCGTTTTGAGAAATTAGGACAATTGGTTTATAGGTAAGGGAAGCTAGATTTTTGTTTTATTTGATGTTTATGGTGTAAGTTTGATGTGGTGTATGAGTATTATTTAATTGGTTGAAATTCTATTTTGTGCTAGTTTTAATGAGTTAATTGATTAAAATTGGATAAGTTGTGATGTATACTACTGTGATGTATGTTGAATGAGTAATTGGTTTGGAATTTGATGACATATGTGAAATTGTTATTTGGAATGTACATTTTCTGGAATTAAGAGTTGAATACTTAGGGGTTTTGATAATGTTTGATGAAAATTGGGGGTTTGGGGTAGGGAAATTGTGAGAATGAAATGGTAAATTGGTTTGAAGTAATTAGAATTTGTTATGGGGTGTTTTAGGACTTGTTTAAGTGTTGGAATGGAAGAAATTGGATTATAAAAGGATTGTAATTGATAATAGAGTTAAGCTGGTTTTAGAACTAATATGAAGGGGTTTGAAGTAGTGAAAAGTTGAAATATGGGTTCTGTGAGTAGTTTGTTATTTTGGTTGGTGTTCATAAGTCTTTTAGGACTTGTTGGAGTTCCTAACTTGTTTAAAAACAAACTAAAACTAGTAGAACTCAATTTGAGTCCATAAGTTGAGGTTTGATAGATTTTGGAGTTGAATCTTGTAAGTAAACACTTTAAAATGAGTTTAGGATGGTCTAGATACAATTGTTTAAGTATAATTGAGTGTATAACATGATCTAGGAGTGTTAGAAGTTGGAAAAAATTTATCCATTTGGTCAAGGGTAGTGCATGGTGAAAATTCTACATTTTTGGTGCTACAGAATTATCCATTTGGTCTGGACCACTGTCTCTGTATTCGCCTAGCGAGTTGAGTCGCTGAGCGAAAGGTTGGGGGTTCTGGACCACTGTCTTCGTATTCGCACAACGAGTTAGGTCGCTAAGCGAGAGGTTGAGGGGTCTGGACCACTATTTGTGTATTCGCACAGCGAGCGAAGTCACTTAGCGAGAAAACTCTTTGGTCGCCCAACGAGAGCAACTAGCCCAAGGTTTGTTTGTATTATTTTTTTATATAATTCTCTGATAATCTTGAGTATGTTTGATTCTTTGAATGGTTTACACATTCTATGATATTATATACCATGTAACATGATTAGATTGGAGTGAAATGTGTAAAGTATATGGTGCTAAGTATTGTTTCAAGGTTAAGTAAGTAAGTTTCAAGATAGAACTTCTTGGTGCGGTTCAAGTATGTTTAGAATGAATGTAGGGAGCTCAGTCTTGGGGGTTATCATGAACTCTAATGGTCTTTCATTCTCAAGTAGAGAAGATTGATCCATTTGGTCAGGAGGTCTTAGTCTTGGGTGCTTCCAGTATGATCCAAGGCGTGGAAGAGACTAACCTTGTGAGTGTGGTATGGTGAAACCCGTTGGCAATGACTTTGCAAAGCAATATAATGACACATTGTGCTTTATATTAAGAACTTTTAACACTTTGATCATTTGAGAACTTTCATATCTGATATCATAGAGTTTTAGAGAGTTTTTGCAGGTGCACAGAATTGCTCTAAGAATCAAGATTCAAAGAAAGTGATACTCTTGAAGGATTCTTGAAGAACAAGTTGAAGCGCTTACTAGCTGATCAAATTCTGCACGACTAAGGTGTATTCTGTTCTGATAGGATTTCATTTTTTACAATCAAGAGGATTGTTGTTTCCCTATGCGTTGGCCAGGATGTAGAACGTGAGGTTTTTGGTATTTTGAGAAGAGTCTCAAAAGGTTGCTGCAGTTAAGAGGGTTGTTCTTCTGCAGGTTGTATTTGCTATATTAGATTGGTTTAGTTAGAGAGGTATTTTACATTTGAGAATTGTTCTCTGTAAATCTTTGTTGTAAAAGCTAAAATCTTTATAGTAGGAAGTCTTTCAATCTCAGGTTGATTGAAAGAGACTGAATGTAGGCATTAAGGCCAAACCATGATAAAAAGATTGTGTTTGTTTTCCTTTCTTTATCTTTTTATTGCTTTATTATTTACAATTGTGTTGTGCACATTTAAAAATCATCTTAATTTTCTAGAAAAATTTAAAAAGAAAAAGTTTTTATCAGTTACCAATTCACCCCCTCTCTTGGTAAGAGAAACTAACCATATCGTTTCTTACAATTGGCAGCACAACAAGTTTTTCAAAAATTATTTGAAAAATAATCGACTACTCTCTCTGTGAAATCGATTAATTGATCATGATGGCTTATGTTTCTTTAATCATGAGAAAGAGTGAATTTGATAATGATTGCGTGAATGTTATTTGTAACGATAAATGCATTTATATTACTAATGGTTTTCATGAGTCTTTTAAGACAGGGATATTTCATAAATCCTCTCAAGAAAGAAAAATTGGCATCAACATTCTGCAACCTAAAGAAAAGGAAGCAAATTTGCTGGCAGAAAAATTCACCAGATTCCTGAACATAAAGAAGACAAATATAAATCTCAGGGATGATCAGACGATAAGCAACAACCAAGAATTACAGGATGTTGATCTTAGTATGATGGCAAAGTCAAACACAGCTAAAACAAGTTCTGAACAAGAAGAAAAGCAATCCATGTGGTATCTGGACAATGGATGTTCTAGACATATGACAGGCGACCCAACCAGATTCACAAGTGTCTCTCACAAGACAAACAATCATGTTACTTATGGAGACAATAATAAGGGGAAAATCATTGGAATTGGTAAAATCCAAACACCCTCTTCTTATGAAATTGAAAATGTGTTGCTTGTTGAAGTACTAAAACATAATATACTTAGCATAAGTCAACTCTGTGAGAAAGGGCTAAAGTAACATTTGAACCTAATCACTTTCTCATAAGTAATTGCTCTACAAATGAACTTTTGCTAATTGGAAAGAGGTGCAATAATATCTACATGATTGACTTTAGAAAAACCTCCTTTAGATTTGTTATATGCTTGTTGACTAAAGATCACGATGCATGGTTGTGGCATAAGAAGCTAGCACACATTCATATTTACAGTTAAATAAACTTGCTTCTAGGAATCTTGTTGTTGGTCTACCAAACATAAAATATATTTCTGATATGCTTTAAGATGCTTGCAAAAAGGGAAAACAAACAAAAACTTCTTTTAAAACCAAGAGAGAAATGTCTACTACTAGACATCTTGAACTGCTTCTCATGGATTTGTTTGGTCGCTCTAGAATCAAAAGCCTTGGAGGAAATCTTTATGGATTGGTTATTGTAGATGACTACTCTAGATATACTTGGCATTTTTTTCTTGCTGTCAAAAGTGACACTTTTAGGGTATTCAAGAAGTTTGCAGCCATGATACAGAATGAGAAGGATCTCAAAATCAAGTCAATCAAGAGTGATCATGGAAGAGAATTCCAAAATGAATGCTTTGAAGATTACTGTGCTGAAATGGGGATCTCTCACAACTTTTCTGCACCTAGAACTCCTCAGCAAAATGGCATGGTGGAAAGAAAGAATAGAGCCCTGGAGCTTGCTAGGACAATGCTGAATGAAAGAGATTTACCAAAGTACTTCTGGGCAGACGTAGTCAACACTACATGTTATGTGCCCAACAGAACAATTATCAGACCAATATTAAAGTTTACACTCTATGAGTTATTTAAAGGAAGGAAACCAAACATCACACATCTAAGAATCTTCAGCAGCAAGTGTTTTGTGCTCAACAATGGTAAAGAGAGCATTGATAAATTTGATTCAAAAGCTGATGAGGCTATTTTCATTGGTTACTCTCTTTCGAGCAAAGCTTATAGAGTTTATAATAAAAAAACTTTATTTGTTGAAGAACGGTTACATGTTGCATTTGATGAACACATTGATAATGCTACTAATAAAATCCATTCTAGAAAGTGTGTAGATGCAGGCGACTCTACGGGTGAAGAGCAAGAAAGTGAGGAAATTCAAGAGAATCAAACTCCAGATATTACTGCTGACTCTCCCAGAAGTGAATCGATTAAGGAATGGAAAACTCCAAGAAATGTGTCAACAAGTAATATCATTAGAGATATATCTAGAGGTGTGTCTACTTGAAGGCAGCTCAATTTGTTTTGTATGAATGTGGCCTACGTATCCCAGATTGAGCCCAAAAAGGTTGAAGATGCACTATTAGACGAGAATTGGTTAATGGCAATGCAAGATGAGCTGAATCAAGTTAAGAGGAACAATGTTTGGGAACTTATTCCAAGAGAAAAGACTCAACAAGTCATTGGCACTAAGTGGGTTTTTCGCAATAAAATGGATGATTATGGAGAGATTATAAAGAACAAAGCCAAACTGGTAGCAAAATCATACTATCAAGAGGAAGGAATCGCTTATGATGAAACTTATGCTCCTGTGGCCAGACTAGAAGCTATCAGAATTCTTCTAGCCATTGCTTTAATGATGAAATTCAAGTTATAACAGATGGATGTGAAGAGTGCAATTCTAAACGGCTACATTAAGGAAGAAGTGTTTGTTGAACAGCCCCCTGGCTTCCAAGATTTTGAGTATCCAAACCATGTGTTTAAGCTAAGGAAAACCTTTTATGGTTTAAAACAGGCACCAAGATCATCGTATGAAAGATTGAGTGAATTTCTTATCAAAAAGGGTTTTCTAAGGGATAAAGTTGACTCAACTCTTTTCATTAAAAAGTCTAGTAAAGACCAATTATTTGTACAAATATATGTTTATGACATTATATTTGGATTTACTAATTTTCTACTATGCAAGGATTTTTCAAAGACTATGCATGATGAATTCGAGATGTCTATGATGGGAGAACTGACTTAATTTCTTGGTCTACAAGTCAAACAAGACAAAAATGGCATCTTCATACACCAGTCAAAATACTGCACTGATCTGCTGAAAAAGTTTAAGATGAGTGAATGCAAAGAAGCTGCTACACCAATGACAACAAATTTATACCTTGACCTGGATGAAAAAGGTAAATCGGTTGATCAAAAACTATACAGAGGTATGATTGGTTCGTTACTGTATCTAACTGCTAGTCGTCCTAACATAATGCATAATGTTTGTCTTTGTGCTAGATTTCAATCTAATCCAAAAGAATCACATCTCACTACTGTAAAACGTATTTTAAAATACCTAAAGGGAATAATTAGTCTTGGACTATGGTACCCTACTGATTCAAATATTTTCCTAGAAGGTTATATTGATGCTAACTTTGGTGGTTGTAAACTAGAGAGGAAAAGCACTAGTGGCATAAGTCACCTTGTAGGCTCTTCTCTAGTGTCATGACATTCAAAGAAACAGGCCTATGTGGCATTGTCAACCACAGAAGCTGAGTACAGTGCAATAGGAATTTGTTGTGCTCAGTCTCTTTGGATTAAGATCCAACTAGAAGAATATGGTATTTTGTTAAACCATATACCTTTGAAATGTGACAACACAAGTGCCATAAACTTAACAAAAAATCATGTACTTCATTCCAAAACCAAGCACGTTGAAATAAGGCACCACTTTATAAGAGATCACATTTTGAAAGGTGAAATCAAAATTGAATATGTGGAAACATGACATTAGTGAGCTGATATTTTTACAAAGCTTCTAAATAAAGAGAGATTTTGTACTATAAGGAATGAATTAGGAATACTTGATCAAAATTGTGTAAAATAACATTAATTGATTATATCTGTTGTATGTATGCAAACTATGCTATTCTCTGTCATACTTATTCTTTTTGCATAATCATACTAAATTTGATGATTATGTTATTTCACATTTATACTTAAACTGTACTAACACTCAACAAAAATTGAGAAGAATGTGATTTGTAGGTTTGTGACTATATAAGAAGTGTCTACAGGAATTAACACTGATTTGATTTGAGATATGAATTGTTCTGCAAAATTTAATCGACTGCAAAAGCAGTGGAATCGATTAAACTGCGTGAATGTGGTTTGAACATTTCTTACTGTTAAATCATGTACTTTGAACAACTCATTTTGATGATATATGATGTCATACATTTTGATACTTATCATTTTACATCCGCTGTGAATGAACATGTGTATTCTGAAATGTTGCACATACATAAATACATTGGCATTCAAGCATTAACTGTTTTACTCTGATATATGCATGATCATATCTGATGCATGTTTGATTACGTTTAATATAAGCTTGAAACTTTATCGGTAAATTTTACTCTGATTGATTAAATCCATTACTGTCAGCCCTTCTATAAATTGAAAGGGGGATAAATTGAAACAGTTTGAACTGCTGATTATTGACAAGGGAGCATCATTCTATTTCATACATATACATTTTGATGTATCTCTGCATGATTTACTATTTCTTGCTTCAAATATCTTTTCTAATACCTTTTTTGCTAATGCGCAAAGGGGGGAGATAGTTGAAATTGTTTGTTAATGTTGATTAAATTATCAAGAGTGATAGTTGACATTATTAATGTTGGATTGATAGATGAAATATCTGTGACTATGTGTCTGAATATAACTATTTGAAAATAATTTTTGGTTGAGCATTGTACATCATGGTTGCTTTATAAATCATGATTGTGCATCATCAAAAAAGGGAGAGATTGTTGATAGGGAGAGCAATATAAGTGATAAACCCAATCTTTGATGTGTTTGGTTTTTGATGATGACAACAAATTGATTGTAACAACACATATATGTTTTCATGACAACAACAAAAAATGTGTATTTGTGATTGATACATATGTGGGTATGTAAATTTTTCTTTATGATTGATACATATGATGATATGTTGTTTGGATTGAATACTTTTATTATCATAATTGTGTTTATATCTACTATATGCATACTAAATGTTTTTGTGTGATAAAACTAAGAGCACAATGCAATTCTGTATGAAATAATCGATTACAGTGATGTTATAATCAATTAAGTTCATCAGATAGTTTATGTTTTAAATTGTGGCAAAACAACAAGTGTTAACCGATTACATTAAGTGTATAATCGATTAAAATTCTTGTCTTTGCAAACATCTTTTTGAAATGTGGTGTGATGAGTTTTGAAGTGAAAAAGTTTTCAAAATTTGTTTAAGTGTATAGCTTAATCGATTACACTGTTTATATAATCAATTAAGTATGTTATTCTTTGAAAACTATTTTAAAGTTAAGTCATAATAGTGATAACGATCATATTTTCAAATATTTTGACTAACATTTATTATTTATCGATTACATTAAATGCGTAATCAATTAGAACTGTTTTAATTGTAATTATGTTACAACTATTAAATTGTGTATATGATTACATTACTTACGTAATCGATTGAAATGTGTTTGATACGAGAAAAACTATATAATGACGCATTGTGCTCTTTACTAAGAACTTTTAACACTTTGATCATTTGAGAACTTTCATATTTGATATCAAAGAGCTTTAGATAGTTTTTGCAGGTGCACATAATTGCTCCAAGAATCAAGATTCAAAGAAAGTGATACTCTTGAAGGATTCCTGAAGAACAAGTTGAAGTGCTCACTGGCTGATCAAATTCTACACGATTAAGGTGTATTCTATTATGATCAGATTTCATTTTTTACAATCAAGAGGATTGTTGTTTCCCTGTGGGCTGGTAGGGAAGAAGAACGTGAGGTTCTTGGTACTTTGAGAAGAGTCTCAAAGGGTTGTTGTAGTTAAGAGGGTTGTTCTTTTGCAAGTTGTATTTGCTATATTAGATTGGTTTAGTTAGAGAGGTATTTTACATTTGAGAAGTGTTCTCTGTAAATGCTTGTTGTAAAAACTAAAATCTTTATAGTGGAAAGTCTTTCAATCTTAGGTTGATTGAAAGAGACTAGATGAAGGTATTGAGACCGAACCAGGATAAAATGATTGTGTTTGTATTCCTTTCTCTATCTCGTTACTGATTTATTATTCATAATTGTGTTGTGCACATTTAAAGATCATCTTAATTTTCTAGAAAGATTTAAAAAGAAAGAGTTTTTATTAGTTACCAATTCACCCCTCCCCTCTTGGTAAGAGAAATTAGCCATATCTTTTCTTACGCCTTTCAATGCACTCTCCTTCCCCAACTCAGTATCACTTATAGTAAGGGATGTGAATCACCTCATAATCTCACAACCCAGAAAGCAATCCCAACTTTTTGTAACCTTTAGAGCAATCTCAACTCTAAATGCAAAACACACAGGTTCCCTTTCTGGCTCACAACAACAAGGAACATAATCCTTTGAATTGTAGTAAAGACACTGATCCTCAAAGAGTACACCTCAAGTGCAGAATATCATCAGCAATGTGTAAGCATAACTATCTTACAAGAATCTTGATGAATTTCTTTCCATATGAATGATCTTGATTCTCCAAGAAGTCTAGGACGCTCCTACAATCAATTCTTAGTAAAAAAAGTCAGTTATGAAAGTGTAAGTACATGAATTCATATTGAAGTAGTGCACAATGCGTCTATTTATAGAATTTTCAAACACTAACGATGTTTAATCGATTATGCTATTAATGTAATTTGTTAAGCTTTTCCTTCAACTTTAACAGTTTGACATCTGTTTTACATTTAACAGATTAAATGACACATGCAATCGATTATGTAAATCATCCAAGCCAACAACAAAAAAATATGACCATTATAGGCAATTATGACTTTCAATAAAAATGATTTTCACAAGATAAACATTTTAACCGATTATGAAACTTATGTAATCGGTTAAGTTCCATACTTAAGCAAATTTCAAAATCATTTTCCATTCTAAACAAATCAATGCACACTCAGTAAACACATGTTGGCATAGAACATTTTTTAATCAATTATACAACTAATGTAATCGGTTAAAACATAGGATTTTTGCCCTTGTAAAGCATATACTGAAATCTGAAAAAATTTAACCGATTCTATAAATAATTTAATCGATTATTTCTTCCAGATATCCAATGTGCAATATGTTTCAACTTGTGATTCATTTCATACAATGAATGCATATACCAAGCAGTTCAAGCACAAACACATATGTGATCAAGAAATTGTTTTGCCATTTGTTCTGCAAGAAACTAGAAAACATTTCTTTTGTTCATAATAAAAAACACACATGTGAGGTGGGTATAGCTAGATATAGCTCCGCCTATCAACAATTTCCCCCTTTTTTTATGATGCACAACAAGAAATCTGTGTTCCAGTTACTTTCCCTATTTGGGCATTAGCAAAAAAATGGCATAACAAGTAACATGGAAATAAAGTGCTAGAAGAGACATCAAATAAAAATCCTTATAGACCATTGAAGAATGTGATGTTCCCCCTATCATTAAGCAATGTAGTACTATACCAGTTGAGCATTACAAGATTTATCACAGTGTAAATCATGACTCAATTAATCAATTGAAAACAATATAACAATATATAGCATTATACAGATTAGAGTACATATACCGATTTCAAATGAATCATGT